TTCGCTCTCTGCAGATGATAATTCTCTGTGGAAAGCTATTAGAAGGTACACCAAATGCCACAATAACATTCCGCCCCTTAAAGGCCCACAAAGGATCTTCTACACTGAAACTGAGAAAGCAGAATTACTTGCACAGCTCCTGGAATCTCAGTTTTGCACTAACAACATTCAAGACCCCCAAACAGATATACTTGTCAACTACTTTCACTCCACGCTCCCAACAAATCCATACGCTAACAACATCCCTCCTGTCATGCCTTCGGAGGTGACTAGCTATGTCAATAAAATCAAGAAGAAGAAAAGTCCTGGCCTAGATGGAATCACGAATGAAATGATTAAGAAACTACCTACCAAGATCATCTTTCTCCTCTGCAAAGTCTTCAATAAAATGCTTCTGTTTCAACACTACCTTGCCTCCTGGAAGACTGCCAAAATAATTCCCATCCTTAAACCTGGTAAACCTTCATCCAGCCCTGAATCCTATAGACCCATTAGTCTACTCTCTCTTCGCTAAGCAAGGTCTTTGAAGCTGTACTCCTCAATAGAATTAACAACTATCTGGAAAGCAACAACATCATCATTCCCTACCAGTTTGGATTCCGAAAAGACCTTGGCACCACCAACCAGCTATACAGAGTCGTGGAACTCATCTCAGAGGGATTTCAGAACCGAAGAGTCACTGGAGGAGTCTTTATTGACATAGCAAAAGCCTTCGACAGAGTTTGGCTTGAGGCACTCACCTACAAATTACACAGCCTGGGTTTCCCTGGCTACATCATAAACATAAACATCACTAAGTCCTACCTAGCAGGTAGAAACTTTGTCGTTCACGTATCTGGTACAAACTCTACACCTCACCACCCCATCAGGGCTGGGGTCCCACAAGGGTCCCTTTTAGGACCCACATACTTCAATATCTACGTGAACGACATCCCAACATCACACGACATAACATTAGCCATGTATGCTGATGATACTGCTATCCTATCACAAAGTGCATTTGCTGGTTCAGTTATACAACGATTACAAAAATACATACATTCACTAGAGGCTTGGCTGATCAAATGGAAAATTCAAATCAATATCAACAAAACTCAAGCAATAATGTTCACCAGAAAGCAAAAATTCAAGTCTAACCTGAAATTCTATGGAAACTCCATCCCCTGGGCCAAGCAGGTCCCTTATCTAGGGGTGATCCTCAGTAAGACACTCTCATGGAACCCACACATTACAGCTAGTATACAAAAGTTTCGAGCTCGTAAAGCTAGACTCTACCCCTTAATTGCTCGAAACAGTGTTTTATCTGTCGATAACAAACTGCTCATTTATAAAACCATTATGCGTCCATTACTCTGTTATGCTTGCCCTGTCTGGGCTTATGCTTGCAATCGATATCGTGGAAAACTACAAATTGCTCAAAATATCATGCTTCGGCAGATTGTTAATGCTCCCTGGTACATCAGGAACAACCGTATTCATGAGGAACTTGGTGTATGTATGCTAAGGTCCTTTTATTATAAAATAGCAAAAAAATTCCACATGAAACAAAGTACCCTACCAACCCTGCCATTAAGATTGCAACATATGATTTTAATGATCTGAATAACAAAGACAGGCCGCTGGCCTTACTAAATATTTGGATTATGTAACTGTGTACTATTTTATATCTCTCTTATTTATATTATACTGTTTTCTTTATATGGTGTACTTGTACTGCTTTTATACTTACCAGTAGCTTCAATGTTGTCTTACTGCTTATCTATTCTTCGGCACCAAAATCTTCACACTTCTCTGTCCATGTATTAACACATTCCTTTCCAGGATAATTCACCAGCTCGACTGCTTTCTGGCCTTGTTTATTCTAAAAGAAAAAATGAGTTCAGGCTCAATTTAAAAAAGGAAAAAAAAATTTTAAAATGAATAAAAAAAATAAATAAAATATTATAAAAAATAATAAAATAAATAAATAAAACAAAATTTAAAAAATTACAAAAGTAATATAAAAAAAAAAAAAAAACTGTTCGATATTCTTTATTTTGGCTAACTGTATTGTGAATCGAAACGTCTAATATGATCTACAAGGGGTAGTGCCTCTGGCACAGGCACCCTGGTGTCTCAAACACCGCTCCACTGGGAAGACTTATCGCTGCTTAGTATTATTCTGTTATTCTGCTCCTTATTTTTTTATCTGTGCTATTGCTTGTACTTAGTATTATTCTGCTTGCATGTAACTCTGCGTATTACTCTGCATATCTCAGTAATAAATATTTGTTTTGCGAACCACGGCATTTTCTATGTTTAACAAGTAGTTAAGGCTATTTCATCAAGGCAAACTATACAGCATTTATATGCCTCCATGGAAGACTTTTTAAGGCAAACTGGTTTGCACTCCCCTTATACATGAGCAAAATCATGCACCTGCTCTTTCTTCTAGTCCATTCGCCGGGGAACGAACCGAGGTTGAACGAACAGTCACAAAGTTTATAACAAAACTCACGAGCAAAAAATTTAAAAAAAAAAAAAGATAAACATCTGAAGGGTTTCAGATTTTAAATTACGTCCAAAGGGGCTTTTTTTTTTTTTTTTTTTTTTTTTTTAATAAACATTTTGTTATCTCTATTTATTAAATATCACATTCTTCGCACTTAAACCATAAAATTCAGTTCAGAGCAATATCGCAAAATAGTTTTAAATTGAGCATATCTTTAGAATTTCCGATACAGAGTCTCGCGCGTTGGAGATAAAAATGTCTTTTCTGAACAACGTTGCCATTGCTCGCTTTGAAATCCTTGAGTTTGTTAATAACAAAATCGTTGAAGTTTTACAAAATATGAAATCGATACTAAAATAAGTTCCAAATTTCAAATTTGGGCTCCCACATGCCCATATTCGCAGTAGGATTACGTCATTCAAAATTCGATGGCTCTATGTAACGTTGTTTTATCACAATGCGAAAAATCTGAACCGATATATAAGAAACGACTGACACGTATTATTTTCTATGTACTATGCTTTTTATCCAGGAAGGAACTAAATATTACTAAATAACGCTAATTGTTGCAAAATATAGGACGCTGTGTACGTTTCATTAGCCAGTGGAAAGATGCTAAAGGCAAGTCGTGAAAGACAGAGATGTCTAATAATATATCCTCAACTGTTTGATTTTGTTATATTTTTCTTGTAAATAAATTGTTGTTGTTTTCTAAAGCCTCTTTGGTGCACCATTAGGCACACTGAACCATTAGATGCAAAATTAAGAAAGACCTCTCAACACGGTCTCCATGAGGCGTTCGAATGTTGCCGGTGCATTACATAATCCAATGCGAACCGCATTCAGTGCCGAAGTTCTTACTTCGTAGAAAATGCCGTCTTTTCTCAGTGGAGGACAAACAGGTCGTTAGGGTATCTCTACTTGTCAATATCCACTCTTTACATCATGCTTCGAAAAGCAATTGCTTCCGGAAAGAGTTCCAGAATGTCGTCAATATCCCGAAGATGGTAGCTATCTTTTTTCATGATGTCGTGCAGCCGGCGATAGTCAGCACAAAAGTCTAGTTAAAACATCTTGACAACGTCGCTCCTTTCGGGCTCTTAGGAGTCTTAGGATATTCCATTATGCTATACTGAAAATGGCTGTTCTCAACTATGAAAACAGGTAGAAAAAACTCTGCTCTTGTTGGTTCAGTAATATCATCTTGAGCTATTATTTGGTGAACGGATTTAACTCCTTTAACATTAGTTCCGAACAGGATTATTTCCTCAGAAGCAGAAAGCAGTTCGCTATTTTTAAAGTCCATGAAAAATTGTATTCCCTCAGAAAGCCTAATCTGGGTATGGAAGGGTATGTAATTACCGGCCACATTTGCCGTGTGATAGTAGACGAGACTTCCAAACGTGACGTTAAAGTTTAACATTCCATCGATGTCAGTTTTATAAACGGACACAGAGCTGGAGGGTAACTCAAGTGAGCGCCCAAATCAGTTTACTTAGCAGTCGCTGGGCCATATCTTTTCGGAGGATGGTGACATTAGCTCCTCTATCAATGTACATATTACAAGAAACTCCATTATTTATGTTACATGATGAAGAGTCCACTACAGCGGTTACTCATTGCAGAAATCTGAAGCACTTTCAGATAGATCTTCTCAGTACCTGCCAGCCTCCTTCCCGTGAGATAAGCAGTATTTAGTTTCTCTGCTTCTTGCTGAGAGAAATTTCACATCCCGTATCTTGTGGTATTCTGCAGTTCCTTCGTAAGTGGGCTTCAACACCGCAGTTCCAGCACTTTAAGATCGGTTTGTTGCTACTCATATTCCGTTTTAAAACATTGAATTGCCTGGTTAAATTGTCTAGACGGACAGTTACGTGATCTGGTTCCTGGAATAAAGCAGCTCTGATTCGGTAGTGGTCCCAACGAGTTGCTTGCTGAATTGCCTCGAATTCCATGGCGTGCGCTAGAGTGTTTTTATATCCTTGACATCCGCCCTTCTCAGGGCCTTTTATATTACCTGATACAAGTGATACTATAATTTACATATAATTTCGCCAAAATTAGTTAAATATATACAAAATTTGTAACAGTATTTTGCTCTGTAATGCGCATCAAAGCTTAAGCGAAGATAAAACGTAAATTTTACTCGTAATTATCAGAATGTTGTAATAATTGATAATATTTAAAATGAGAATTCCAGAGCTTTTGTATTACACTGTGATATGTTTACGCTATACGATTGAAGAGGTCATTGTTAAAATAAATTTGAGACGCCAATAACATGCAGAAATAAAATACAGAATTTGCATTTTCGATTTTGGAGCACATAGTAAAGTAGGTGGGCTCTTTAATCCACCCTTCGCAATCTGTATTTAAACAGGAAGTCAAAAAATTAGCATTTCATCTGCGACGAAGTAAATAAATTCCTTCAGTTGATAAAGTGCCCGTAATCTTTTCGCATTTATTATCAGTTCAAAATGAAAGTAGAATAAATCGATACTATTATGTAAAACAGCACTGGACGACTTCAGTTCTAAGTGAGATAATCCGGAGCTACTTCAAAGCAGCCAGGGCAACTGCATTTAATTTTTAGAGGCGTTTCCTGCAAATTTTTAAAGAAACTGAGAAATAACATCAGAAGTAATTATGTTGTTCTGAAAAGTGAGTATTTTTTTACATATTTTTTCCTTAATAAGTAATTTTTTAAAGCGTGACCTGAATTGTAGATGGAACAAAATGAAAGGGGGTTAAGGAAAGAGAAGAAGCAGAATTATAAGCATTTGCTTGATAGTTTGACAACACAAAAGAGCTGATGTATTTTTGCAATAAAAAATGCAAAATGATGATTCAATTTTTTTCCATTGCTTCTAAATCATAAATGCATCAGCAATCCAATAGCACATACTCCATGCGTTATAGCATAGTTAATAAAAAAAATTGAATGAATCAGTGCTTGGTATTTTTCCCATTCTAAAGAAGATAAACTGGGAACAAACTACAGCGTTAAATAAATTGTTAGATACTTTGATTTACATTTTGTACATAATTTAAGGATTTTCACTATATCTGACTCTATGATGATATTTTATGTCAGTGGCCTTCAAACAACGTTCCATGGGAACTTTTAAGTAACTGATCTTGGGGTTCTGCAAGTCAAAATTATAATTCGGAAGAATTTTTTAACGCCACGGAAACAGCAAAACTAATCATCTAACATAATTAATTAAATTATGTTTGTTTTTCTATTGTCAAGAAAAATAAGAAGTAAATCTGTTATTATGAGTAAAATTGTAATGAAAGATTGTTTTCAAGTTCCACCAAATAAAATTAGTTTTACGTTTTCTGCAAAAGAAAATTACAATTTTAGGTATTTTCTGAATTGATAAAGTTTGAAGACCAATTTTTATGCTATGTCTTACGTAAAATTTGTTACTTTGCATTATATCTGACTCATATTTTAATATTTACCACAATATCTAATTTACTAATTTAGTTCAGAACAAAAGTGTTATCACAATTCACAAAGAAAATAAGAAAGGTAATGATGTCATCGACTTTCATGTTATGCTGTAATGCCTTTAGTTAACATAGGATTTTCTAAATTTATCGACTTCTTCTATTTTATTATTAGTTAATTATAAAACGACGAAAAAAACAAAAGCTAAAGTCGTTTTAAAATGTTAAAATTTTTATTATAGTAGGAAATTTAACTGAGACTTTTAATGTGACAGACATACCTGTGACTTTTGCCAAGATGTTTGGTTCAAGATCAATGAGCTTCAACCTTAAATCTCCATAAAATTTACATCTAACATATTTTTCCGTTTTGTTGAGACGGAATTAATGTGGCTAAAACCAGTTTCAACTAAATTCTGAAACGCAAACGAAATTAGAACTTCAAAGTTTTGTGGTATTTATAGACAAATTTATGTTCGTCCAAAAGTAAATTCAGATAACATCTTTTAAAACGTTCTAAGCTTCAATATCAAGTAAAATCATTAAAATTTAATAATTATTTATTATGTTAGTAATTTTTTATTTATTATTTTCATCGACCACTCTAAATGTCATATCGACTGTTAAGCGTCTATATTAACTAGTCTGGAGATTCTTGAGGTAAATTAACGCTTTTCAAAGGAACAAATTTTAGAAAAACGCAAGTTTAAAAAAGCGTGTTTTTGTTGGAAATACACGTAGTATATTCTACAGTTTTGATGAATAAGATTATACATGCTTCTTTGCTGCATAACTTTGGAAATGAGTCCCAGTCGTTCAGATTTATATTTTGTCTGTAAATTAATCAAAATAGGCAACCTATAAATGAGAGCAACTGGCTAAACAAAGAAGTAATCACATATGCTGCATGACAACTTCAAAATAGGAATTTGCATAAAAAGCTTTAATCTTTATTTAAATTTTAAGTTCTATCGTTTTTAAAAAAATAATTAAACAACAAATTAGTATTGATTTATTAATTAATGTAGAGTATAAATATTTTATAATTGATATAGTATACATTTATAAGTGCTTTGAGAATATTTTTTAAACAAAAAAAGATAAGGAAAAACGGTCTTTGCCTTTTATGACTTTTCCTCCAACAATTCTGACTAGAAAAGTTTTATTTAAAAGTTTATAATTGTTACTTATGTTATACCATTGAATAGTAACATGTATTTTTAGCGATATATATATTTAACTCTCAATTTTAATTTGGCTATTTTCTGCTTTTTGTCTTATGCCTGGTATAACAAATTAAGAAAGAGAAAGAGAAGCCTACCGCATCATTTCCAAATGAATCCATAATCAAATGATATTGCATAACATTGTTGAATGCAGGTGTTTACCTTGATTGATTCGAAATCGGAACTAACATTGGAAATAAACGCTTTAGCCAATCCATTCCCGATGATTCGAAGTCGAAACTAACATTGGGCATAACAAAATTTCGGTTTTTTCCCATGCTTCCTTTTGAATGCATTACATTCCTGCTGCTTCCATACTTCCAGCTAAAAGCTCGCCTTTCGCCTCTCTGTGTAATGAACAGTAATACAGTAGACTCCCGATTATCCGCTGGCGGTTTATCTGCGGGGCGGATTATCCGCGCCTGCCGCACAAAGGTTTTATTTATTTATTTTTTTTTTCCAGTGTAAAGCAAAGAATATAAAAATGTTAACAAAACTGAGCGAAACGTTAAATTTGCTAACATCGTGCTTATTTATGGCAAAAATATCCCAGGCCTTCTCGGGACCTTTCCCGCGGCCTTACCGGAGCCTTCCCCTCTGATGAGTAAGTGATTTCTTACTCACACTTGCAGTGCCCTCTCCACCGCCCTCTCTCGTCTTAATGTTACTGACACGTCCACTTCCTCCCACTCGCCTTTCTTAGTTTAAGCCAGATAGTGCTCGCGAACCGGTCGGAGTTAATTTCTTATCTTTTATTGTGTTCAGTGCTTATGCTCTTTGGTTTTGTGTTTTTCGTTACCGATTTAAAATGTCAGGAAAATGAAAGAAGGTTGTGTTGACGATTGCGCAGAATTAATTTCCAAAGTAGCAAACGGCGCCACAAGGCAGCAGATGGAATTGGATTACGGAATCGCGGAAACAACAGTGCGTGACATTCTAAAGCAAAAAGACAAACTGGTGAACTTTGCATCAATGTCGGACAGCGCTTCCGCAATGAAAACGCGAAAAACTTTGATGAGCTAGACACGGCATTGACAGAGTGGTTAGCTCAAGTTCGAAAAAAATGTACTCCTGTAAATGGTCCTATCATTGCGGCCAAGGCAACAATATTTTTTGAGTTGTTAGGCCTGAAAGGAACTTTTGATGCGTCTTCTGGCTCCTTGACTCGTTTTAAGCAGCGACATGGAATTCGAGAAATTGGACTTCATGGGAAAAAACTTAGTGGTGTCCAACAAGCAACCGACGATTTCCACCATGAATTTGAAGAATTTGTTTTAAAAGAAGAGATATCTTTTCAACAAATTTACAATGCCGACGAATCGGGACTTTTGTGGAAATGTCTTCCCACTCGCACTTTAGCATTTGAAAGTGAAAGTAAAGCGGTGGGTCATAAAAACAGCAAGGAAAGGATCACTATCATGTCTTGCAGTAACGCTACCAGCGGACATAAACTTAGACTTGTTGTCATTGGAAAGTAAAAAAAAGCGAGATCTTTCAAAGGCACAAAGATAGAAAATTTGCGTGTTGATTACTTTAACCAAAAAAAAAAAAAAAAAAAAAAAGGATGGCGGATGGGCCGAAACATTTTTCAAGGATGATTTGAAAACATCTTTGTTCTTCAAGTGTGTAATCATCTTAAATAGAAATATCTGCCTGAAAAGGCTGTGCTATTGATCGACAACGCACCTTCTCACCCAGCAATGGAAAGCGTGCAGAAATACTTCATGATTAATAAAATACGCTTAAGTTGACTGCCATCAAAATTTGATTGTTCTTTTTCCACCCATGACCAAGGAATCATTGCAACAATGAGAGAACTATCGAACCAAGCTGCTAATGGCCAAAATTGAAGAAGGTTATGATCTGAAAGAGTTTTGGAAACACTGCACAATCTTGGCAGCATCTATGATATTGCATCTGCATGGGACTCAGTGAAACCTGTCAAGCCTTGTCAAATCATGGAGAAAACTCATGCCTTAACTGTTGTAGCCGAACAACAACCTAATCCCTTTGAGTTGTGAGGAAGAGAATGAAGATGTAGACATGCCCACGCCAACTCTTGCCGATATGGTGAAAAGAGTTCCAGGTGGTGAGAACATCGATACTGAAAATATTAACGAGTGGTTGGAGTGTCACGATTTCAACGAACCTGGCTTTCGAACGCTTGACAGATGATGAAATTGTGAAGAAAGCAAGGGGAGAGACCGAGAATGAAGGAGAGCAAAGTGAAGGCGAAGAAGAGCCCACTGTGCAGATGCGGACGACTCACGAAGCGGCTTTGCAACAAGTCGAACGGACTGCTGAGCTATTTGGAAGAACAAGACGATGCGGAGTTGCCCGAGAAACTTATGCTACGAAAAATGCAATCTCGGATCAAGAGAAAATGCTTCCAAAGCAAGAAGGAAACACAAATGACTGATTTCTTCAAAAAGGTGTAGTTTTACAGTTATGCTTTTGTAATTACATAATACATTACAGTATTAAAGCAGTACATATGTATTAATTTTTTTGTGTATCCTTGACGTCTCTCGTAAGTACAAAGTACTTTTCTGTTTTCATTAGCAAAATGCATTTTAGGTTAGTTTTGTGTGATATACTAAAATATTAAGCGTTAGTTAAACATTTCCGCTGTTTATTTTACGTTTTATTGTACATAAAACGATTTTTCAAAGTTGGAATGTCTGTTTTCTCTTTTGCTATACCCGTTTTTAGCTTTTTTCGGATTATCCGCGATTTGTGTTATCCGCGGCGGCCGCGCCACCCAATTCCGCGGATAATCGGGAGTGTACTGTATAAAAAAGTCACAAAATGTGATTAAGAATGGTGCAGATTGGGCCAACTGTGATGTGTGATTCATAATGTTAATTTGCTATTCATAATGGTTCTTTTGTCGAGAAATCGTCGCTACGGCTGCGTTTGATTGCAACCACCTATTTATGCGTCGTAACTCTGCGACCATTAGCAACCTCAACGTTGATT